ACCATTGGTGTGTGTGTGTTAGGTGAGGTGATTCAGTAGTCCATGCCCCTTAAAGTGGAGGGGATATACCTTCCCCCATTCCCCGGGATTTATACCAATGCATCGATATCAGATCAACGTATGTGTCACATTTAATCTGTTTTTTTTCTTTTTTTATCGAATGATTTGTGTATGCTGTTTTACAAGTGAATGAAGTTTCCTGTAAAACCAGTCTCTTGGTGTGTGTTTTATTTCCCTTACTCTCATCGGTAAATAGTTTAAGCCTAATGAATATTAAATTAAGTGTATCTTGGTTTCACTGCATGTGTCCCAGCTCAGTCCACTGCCATATAAGAATATTTATGCAAAGTGATGAGTGTGTGTGATGTCCAAGGAATGCATCTTTTGTTCAGGGCCATGGTGTGAACATATCAGTCAAGTGTGAACATTTTTGCCAATTTTTCTTGGGGTGTAGTCCAGTCAATCAGGAGTCAGAGCCAGCAGAAGAAGGTTTAATATTGCAGAACCTCTGAATACGTAAAATTTTGCTTTTAAGTCTGTTGGCAAAATCTGGAAAAAAAGAAAAGCTTTTTGAGTTAAAATCAACCCCAAAGACAAGCAGACTTCTGAACTGCCTGCAGTCATTTGTCAAGACTTCTAACCATGGCACGTAATAACTGGTTTTGAGGCGGGATTTCAGTAAAAAGTGTTCTTGGATCCTTTTGCAATTTCACCTGACCCATGGCAATACTCAAAAGGGGCTGTAGCTACCATTCCGTCGTGGCCAAGACTTGGAGCTCAAAGTGACGTACAATGGTGGATCTGTGAAAGCGTCGACTTCAGCAAAACCCTGTGAACTTGTATGCCTCAGGATCATCTGACCCTTGAATGTGATGCGAACTGACTTTGTAAATACTGAAAGTATGAACTGTTGGAAGATTAGACTATACAATTATGAAAATATTGAATGATGAGTCCCATATAAAAGTGGTTTAAAATTGGATTCTAACAAGAAACTTTGATTTATTTTTGTTGTAAAGACAAATGTATTGAGAAGTGTAAACTGGTAATACCGTTTTAAGTATTATCGAAAGTAAGAATTTTCAGGATTGGTAATTGTTTTGGAAAGTCAATAGGTAGACGCTAAAGGAATTGAGATATGTAGTGGTAACTGATATTGAGTGTTCCAACTGCCTGCACAATTGAAATTGAAAAGTAATACCAGTAGGTTGAAAAGTCACAAAAAACTGTGACAATTAGTGAAGGCACGGTACAGGAAAGATATTTCCAGTTATGGATATAAAGTTTGGCGATTGAGGAATGACATTCATGTAGTGCTTCCAGTTGAGATCATAAACCAGCTGAGGGATTGAAAACTACTGTATATAACTGGAAGATTCATAGGTTAATTCTATAAAGTGTATTGGAAATACAGGTTGCCGTGAAGTGACGGGAAACCGAAATAATGTGAGTTGAAAACGGAGGTTCATCTGAATTTGAACAAGCCGTAGTTAATAGTGGACCCAACTTCTTGGAGGTTTTGAAAAAGGGTGTTTTGTCAGTAGTTTGACTTGAGGAAAGTTGGTGTGAAAAAATTCAGTTTTAAATAATTCGAACGCTTTAGTTGTACCAAAAGTTAAGAGACCCTGCGACTTGTCGAGAACTAAGATAAAATAAATAAGTCTTTCTTGAAGGGAAATTAATCTAATTGAAGTTTTTAAAGAAACAAAAGTGTTGAGTGTTTTTTTTTCATTTGCTTTATGATTGTGTATGACATATTTCTTCAACTTGCATTTGTCCGAAGGAGTCACCAAAAGTGACTGTAACAGTATGTCAATGTTAAAAGTAAATTTTTAACGGTCAGTGCAGATTATATTTACAAACTAGTTCGAGGTAGAAATGCTGACAGCTCCAGAGAATGGACGCTAACGGGTAACTCGGGGCGTCTGCCGACACTAGCTGTTTAGCCTTTTACCACCTCCCTAGACGGTGACCTTCGGACAACCCTCGACAATTCTGCTTGCAACTCTTGATCCACACAATATTGTTCTACCCACGGTCCTCAGTTCTGACTGACACTAAGAACAGTACAAGTCAACTACAGCGGATACGTAGTTTTCCTACACGACCTTTTATTTTACGGAAACACTAATTTTTTAATATATTCTCCTGCAGGGAGAAAGTCACTTCAAGCGCTTAATTTCACACCAGGATGCTATAGTAGCGTATTCTCTTGAGCCGTCAGCACTTCTAAGTCTGCCAAATACTTGCAAACAATTATAATCTCTAATGAAAATTCAACATTTACTTGGACGTCTGCTCCAGTTAATTTATATTACCCCCATTCCTGCACCAAAGCTTGCTAAAGGCTCATCGAATTTTGCTAGACCCAAACCGTAGAACAGTTTCCTCGACTTCCGGAAAGATATGTCAAAACAAATTAAAACATTTGTTTCGCAATGAATCTTATCCCGTGGGTCACTTTGTCTCATGCATTTAGTTTATTTGATGGGTGTTTGAATGGATATCACTTTTGGCACCTTTTAGTTTGTATCTTTTTGGGGTTTTTATTTGTAAAATAGAATTTAAAACAGGCCATTCTGAAAAGGTTTATACTGAACAATGTGACCCTGAATAAATATTTCAGATAGATAAAACCTATATAAAAATAAATGCACCAACTGATAACGGTTATTATTGGAAAGTCAGCCAAAGGNTTTAATTAAAGTTTTTAAAGAAACAAAAGTGTCGAGTGGTTTTTTTCATTTGCTTTATGATTGTGTATGAAATATTTCTTCAACTTGCAGTCCGAAGGACTCACCAAAAGTGACTGTAACAGTATGTCAATGTTAAAAGTAAATTTTTAACGGTCAGTGCAGATTATATTTACAAACTAGTTCGAGGTAGAAATGCTGGCAGCTCCAGAGAATGGACGCTAACGGGTAACTCGGGGCGTCTGCCGACACTGACTGTTTAGCCTTTTACCACCTCCCTAGACGGTGATCTTCGGACAACCCTCGACAATTCTGCCTGCAACTCTTGATCCACACAATATTGTTCTACCCACGGTCCTCAGTTCTGACTGACACTAAAAACAGTACAAGTCAATTACAGCGGATACGTAGCCTTCCCACACATTTTGTCGGTGTTGGTATTCCAGTTCAGTTTATCATCAATATAATGTCCCCTTTTGTAAGCCTACCGGTACAAAGTTTCAAGGTAATTGTAGCCCAATCACTAGAGACAATGCTGAAGAAAGATCTATTCTGGTTTCATACATGACCTTTTATTTTACGGAAACACTAATTTTGCAGGGAGAAAGTCACTTCCAGCGCTTAATTTCACACCAGGATATTATAGTAGCGTATTCTCTTGAGCCGTCAGCACTTCTAAGTCTGCCAAATATTTGCGAACAATTATAATCTCTAATGAAAATTCAACATTTACTTGGACGTCTGCTCCAGTTAATTTATATTACCCCCATTCCTGCACCAAAGCTTGCTAAAGGCTCATCGAATTTTGCTAGACCCAAACCGTAGAACAGTTTCCTCGACTTCCGGAAAGATATGTCAAAACAAATTAAAACATTTGTTTCGCAATGAATCTTATCCCGTGGGTCACTTTGTCTCATGCATTTAGTTTATTTGATGGGTGTTTGAATGGATATCGCTTTTGGCACCTTTTAGTTTGTTTCTTTTTGGGGTTTTAATTTTAAAAATAGAATTTGAAACTGGCCATTCTGATAAGGTTGATACTGAACAATGTGACCCTGTATAAATATTTCAGATAGATAAAACCTATATAAAAATAAATACACCAATTGATAACGGCTATTATTGGAAGGTCAGCCAAGAGCACATGTGATAATAGTTTATCAAGTCCAGTTTGATAAATAATTTTGTGCATTTCACCTGCGTTTTCTTTTCTTCATTTCTCAGACGGATTAATCGCTTACGATGTCGCTTTTATTTTTATTTCTTTCGATTTTGTTCTCCTCGTTCGCTTTGCCAGCTTGCAGCAGCGATGCGGGGAATACAAAGGGCGGGGAAAAGTACAAATTCCTGTATTTCGCTTCTATTGCCGCAGGAAGCCACTACATCAACCTTGTCGAGTCAGGGCGAGCATTAGCCCGCCAAGGTCATCACGTTGTCTCCGTAGTGAGCAGCTCAAATCCTACAAGTTTAGTGCAAAAAGATGCTGACTTGTCTGTGGTCGTCTTCAACTCGTCCGTTACCAAACAAGACAGGGATAGCTTGAATGGCAATATGACTGCAGCAGGCCTGGCAGGGCAGTTGAATTTCCTTGGTTACCGATGGTTATTAGAAAAAGACATGCGTGACAAGATGAAAATCAAAGACATGTGTCTGCGAGAATGTGACGACCTGTTCTCCGATTCAGCAACCATGAAACGTTTGCAAGAAGAAAAATTTGACATGCTTGTTGGAGATGACTACTTACCTTGCAGCCCGATGTTGGCGCAGGCTTTAGACATCCCATTCGTCCTGAACTCTGTCTTCTTTGCGATTCCTACAAAACATGCAAGATGGTACGTTTCTTTCAAAACTTTATCATTTTTTTTAACATTAATGCATGTTAACTTTAAATACCAGTATTTCTGCTGAAATGTCATTTAATGTCAGTGTTGTATGTTGGCACCAGAAAGATTAACTACTTCACGTCCCGCTGTAGAAAATAATAACTATAANCACATGTGCTTATAATAGTTTATCAAGTCCAGTTTCATAAATAATTTCGTGCATTTTCACCTGTGTTTTCTTTTCTTCATTTCTCAGACGGATTAATCGCTGACAATGTCGCTTTTATTTTTATTTCTTTCGATTTTGTTCTCCTCGTTCGCTTTGCCAGCTTGCAGCAGCGATGCGGGGAATACAAAGGGCGGGGAAAAGTACAAATTCCTGTATTTCGCTTCTATTGTCGCAGGAAGCCACTACATCAACCTTGTCGAGTCAGGCCGAGCATTAGCCCGCAAAGGTCATCACGTTGTCTCCGTAGTGAGCAGCTCAAATCCTACAAGTTTAGTGCAAAAAGATGCTGACTTGTCTTTGGTCGTCTTCAACTCGTCTTATACCAAACAAGACAGGGATACCGTGAACGACAATATGTCTGAAGCAGGCCTGGCAGGGCAGTTGAATTTCCTTGGTTTCCGATGGTTATTAGAAAAAGACATGCGCGACAAGTTGAAAATCAGAGATATGTATCTGCAAGAATGTGACGACCTGTTCTCCGATTCAGCAACCATGAAACGCTTGCAAGAAGAAAAATTTGACATGCTTGTTGGAGATGACTACATACCTTGCAGCCCGATGTTGGCGCAGGCTTTAGACATCCCATTCGTCCTGAACTCTGTCTTCTTTGCGATTCCTACAAAACATGCAGGATGGTACGTCTCTTTCAAAACTTTATCATTTTGTTTTTAACGTTAATGCGTGTTAAATTTAAATACCAGTATTTCCACTGAAATGTCATTTAATGTCAGTGTTGTATGTTGGAACCAGAAAGATTAACTACTTCACGTCACGCTGTAGAAAATAATAACTATAGAAACAAATGTCTCAGAAGAAATAGACGCATTCTCGGATAGGGGACAGTGTCAAAAGAGTGTATACGAAGTAGCTAAAAACAAACAAAAAACCCCTCATTGTTTGGAAAGTCATTTACAAAATCAGAGGGCGGGGAAGGAGGGAGGGCAAAGTTATGTAGGAATAAGAAATAATGTACTTGTCCAAGAGTAATGAAGCATGAAGTGCTTTATTGTGCGTGGTCTTTATGAGAGACTTTTGAGATTTGGTGACGGTAAACATACTGGTCCCACGTTACCAATGCAACGTTGTTTACGTCATATTTTAGCCAATTATGCACATGCTCAAAAAATCAATATGGGTCCGTCGCAAAATCTCTTTTTTTCCCTTTTTCTTAAAGGCTATAATTGTGACTCTGGGTAAGTCCAACATTTCGACAGGTTAAGCTTTTACGAGGTGTGAAGACTATTCTCCTCTCAAGACTGGTAATAAAACCATTTTCCCATAGGAAAATACTTGGTGTATCCCAAGACAGTTGTGTAATGAAACAAACCAAAAAAAAAAAAAAAAACAAAAGAAAAACAAAACAAGACAAAAACAAAACCACAAAAAAAGGACAAGTCAGTTTACCGCCACCAAGTGTCTAAGATTCTCCTACTGTATGAACACTTGCCTAATGGATCGAGAGTTCGACTAGACTGATTCATCCACGTCCCAACCTGCAATTTTACAGGTGGCAACTTTAACAAATCTAGGCATGCCTAAAAAGAACAAGGACAAACGTAACGGTGCGTGTAAAATGAAATAAGGGATAAGGGACCATAGTAAGAGAAAACTGATGACTTCCAAGAAGAAATAATGAGAGGAAAGAAGGAAAAGAACGAAATCAGTTGAACAGAGGAAAGTCAGTCAGGATTGTCAGAAACAGAAATTATTAGAGGAACCATGACACTAAAGTAAAGATTTTAAAAAGGCAGTAAACAACCCAGTACTCGCAATTTTATAAATTTTTATTATTAAATTCTGCGGGATAACCAATGTTGGGCATACCCAGCTCTATCGACACATTGTAGTGTAGAAGCTCAGTGGGTTCAGCCACATTCTGAAAAAAATGGCGGGGTGGTAAGGGGCAAGAAAGATATCAAAGAGATTAAATACCCGATGCGTTTTAGGCTGAGCTAAACTACGTTGCTACGTTGGCACTGGAGAGATCAAATATTTCATAACGCAGACAAAAGCTAGACTGCCTGTTAACAGTCCAATCATTCTGTTTGCACCCAGGACTGGATTGCCTGTCGATCCGTCTTATATACCAGAGCGTGTCATGGGACTTACTGACAGAATGACATTCCTTCAGCGACTCAAAAACGTCCTAGGTCACTTCTACTTCAACATCGTGCATTTTCAACTCGACAGCGCTAACTTCGTTAGATATGATAAGTTGAAGGACAAGTATAACATCAAGCCGGAGATCAGCACCCTAGAGTCACACAAACAAGCTTTGCTGTACTTCATGCACGGGAGCTTTGGACTGGAATTTCCTCGACCTTTGCAGCCCAATATAAAGTATGTCCTCTACCATGCCGGATTGAACTCCAATCAAATGGTAGGTGACCATCGGCAACTTTCTAAACCTCTCTTGTGACACTCGTTAAGCCAAAATTTATATAAATACACTCCATTAAAATGAAAAGTGGTTGAACTTTGCGGGACGAAATAGAGCGAACAATAAATTGATTCAGTAGTTGCTATGTCTGACTCTAGAACACCTTTAAAGAAATCGGACTTTTTCGGGGAACACGGAGGGAATGGAGTCGTTAGCTTACTAGATATTCAATGGGGGAATTTCTTCATAAAATGCGCAGTTTTCTTTTAAATCACAAGGGTTGGTAGGTTGAACTCTTCTAGGATCAATCCATTGAACATCGGAAACTTGGTTATTAGAACATTCACCATAAATATAACATTTCAATAAGTAATATATCATAACCGTATTGTTTCAACTGTCACTGCATATGTCGGCCGGTGCAGTGAGGGCATCACTAGCAGAAGTTAACATATTGATCTACCTGTCTCAGCAAAAAGTGATTGATTGCAAGAAAGTCAATTGATTTCCAAAAAATAATAATGGAGTTGAAACAATTTCCAAGACATCAATGGAATTAAATAATTCTGAGGACTGGGCACGATCTTTAAGAATGCGTCAAGGGTCTTTAGGGTTAATCCAAATAAAAGCCAAAAGAACATCTCCATCATTATGTATTGTATCTAACTTAAAATGGTTAGGGATCTGGTTTGATGCCTGACGTTATATGCCCAAGTTAGAATGGTAAAATGACCAATCTTATCAGAGCCAAATTTAACCCCAAACATCGACAGGTCAACTGAATTTAAGAGTCAATAGCTAAAATGGACAAGGTCACGATCGAAGCGATAAAACCTTGGGCTATTATGATATCCACGCCTATGCGCATGCAACGTCAGAATTGTGATGGTGACGATGGTACTTTTTCTTTGTCAGACTTTCCAGATGGACGAGGATGTTGCCAAGTTCCTGGATACAGCACCAGATGGGGTGGTGTTCTTCGCCCTAAGTTCCCTTTTGAGGAAAATTGGGCAGGAACAAGGCCAAATCTTCGCAGACGCTTTTGCTTCCCTCCCCTATCGCGTGCTGTGGAAGTCAAATGAGAATCTGACGGGAATCCGGCTAGGAAACAACACCATGGTTGCGAAAGGGTTGCCAATGATGAAAATCCTGGGTATTTATATTGATCCTCATGTATTTCAGTAATTTCTGGTAGAACCAGGGAATCTTCAAAACCTTTGATTCAAGATGTCATTATACTACTTTATATATGGTGGCAGGCATTGATAAAGAGACTCTGTACATCAGAAAAAAAAATTAGTTAGGCAGATATGTGGAAATAATGTTGGTGTTTACGTACAAGCCTGAATTTCGGCACAGTTCACGACTATGGACTAGGTAATATTTTGAGAAGTGGACTCACTCTGAAAACTTCCTCTGTGGCTTTTGGGGACCATTTCTAAAAAAATATGCTTGTACGTAAAACCTACAAGTCGCTGCTAAACTGTAAGTTTTCTTGCCAAAAATTGCTGCTAAAAGTGTAGGCCTACCTGTGTGATGGGGTTTACAAACACATTCCACTGCAGACAGTCCGCCCAGCAGGGATTAACTTCTCCCAGGCTAACGCCACACACACCTAGACAACCGCTACTATGAACAGACAGATATTTTTAATAAGGGAATAAATATGTGCTTGGCCGGCTTTACCCCGTTTCAGACAGGCGTTCTAGAGTCACACCGAACCAAATTAGAAGCAAATTTTAAATTAAGTACGGCCAATTGTCGACGTCTGAAACAATTAGTAGCGATGAGGCGTGCAAGCAGGTGAAAGATCGACACTTGGAGGCGCTCGAAACTACATCGGAGGGACTCGGTTTCAGACGTTGCTCAGATGTTTTCATAAGCCGAACCAAATGCAAATATATGAAAATTAGTAGTGACCCTTCGACGTGTCCCACAATCGACAGATATAAACAAGAAATTAGTGTGTTNCACTCGTATTGCGCGCTTTGTGCTCGGATTGTTTCATGCATGAATGCGTCGTCTCGGTTCCTCTATAGGTCAAAAGAAAATGGATATCTCGGAGACTAGCTTGAAATTTTTATGAATGAATATAAAGTCACGGATGATTTAACAATTATGATCGTGAGCGGAGATGTGTTTTCACATACGGGGGATGATTTGTCAGCAGGGCCTCGAGTATCAGGTGAAATTGTCAGGTTGACAAGTGGCAAAGTCGGTAGTGCAGGCTAAGGGTGCACACTTAACGGGGCTGTTTTGTTTTGTTTTGTTGAGCTGCATTCATGCCTTGAACTCTTGAACACAAATTTTTGATACAGCAACTCCGTGCCGAGCCGATTCACTTTAAAGCACGGAGGAATTTTTTGCCCGTTATGAAAAATTCTATAAAATAATTTAAAGCTTAATTGCCAGGGTCAGTTGTTAGGTCCGAGTCACAGGCTACAACTGTTAAATTTAGCATCTCCCCAACGCAGAGTACATCTCGCAACATGCAGGAAAGCAAACTCCTTCGTGCTTTGAATAAAGTCAACTCAATGGGAAATCTGCTCCGCAAAGAGAACAGTTGTAGATTTGTGCAAATGTAAAGATTGCACTGAACATAATTTGCATGGATTCAAGGCTTTATTAATCAAGTGCTGAGGTAAACTTAAATCAAGTCGGTAATTGGCTGGGTGTAGTCCCCCTTCCTCGTGTAATACGTACGCGGTGCGGTTCAGCGTGAAGTTTGATAACACGCGGGAGCGGTCAGTACAACCTCGCTCCCCAATATGTGCGTCTGACGGGTCCCAATTAAATACCCACTTGAACAATCTGCAAGCCCTTTTGTGCACAACATATGGGGCTTGCTACCAAAATTGGACAGAGCACTCTGATTGGCTAAGAATATGAATATTTATTTTAGGGCCACTTTGATTGGGCAGTTGAACCCCTTATTAACAACAACCACAGTCTTTTTCATTGAAGAGGGTGTTCACGTTATCCTGAAAAAGATGAATTGCCAAAAAGCATCGATTCTCTTAGCAGAAAAAGATACTTAATAGATTTGTTCTTGAATATAGTTCTGTAAACTTTGCCTCTAAGCGTCGCATTGAAAGGGATATTTATGCAAGATATGAAAGAAACTGGCACTAATCAATTGTACTCATCCCTATAAATAAATTAATGAGTCTGTTCTTTAGCGTGAGCTACTATTGGCGCTCTACATGGAAATATTTGAATTATGCAGTTCAGTTGTTGCAACATGAATATCTATCCTGATTCAGGTTGATCTAGTCGTTAGGCGGGAGTCACCACTCCGACATTTGGCTATTCACAATTAGCAATGGCGACCCCGGATCCTATAGGATGCATTGATAATCAAAATAAATAACAAGATCAAACGGTCTTCTGGAATTCCAATATTTACAACACGAGCTCGATATGGTATTAGAAAGTGATCTTCTTACAGAACTGTTAATTATTTACTGGTCTGTGATTAAGTCATAAAGACTCAATTAGTCAATCAAGTGACTCTGGGATCATCACATCAATCATGAAAATGAAAGGTTTCATCAGATAACCACTTTAAATTATTAAAATCGCAAAATTAATCAGTCCAGCATCTGTTGAAGTTTCTTTAGCGCCTTGAATCTGGCGTCTAACAAAACTGCAGTAGATCAGCCCAAAGCTCGGTCAAGTAGAGCAAGTTCAGTCTACGTTTCTTAGCAGTCATTGGTAGAGTCAGTGGAACCAGTCTCAACATAAGGCCATCAGCAATAAATATAAAACCAACACCTTAACAGCTTTAAAGAAATCATGCTCCAATTTGTTTCTTTGCCAATCTCGATCTCCACAATTCCAAATTACCACAAATCGTATATCACTATCCTTATTTTCATGAATGTAAATTTCCGATCTTCTCCAAAATCATCAGCCTCGATCTCCAGGATCAGCTTAATAGTCTTACTACTACAATTACGACAAAACTTTATCATCTGCAGGCTTTTACAACACTGACGGTAATTTGCTGAACAACTGCCTTGGGAGTTGAACTGTTGCCATGTGTCGTTAATAGGCCACAGTTTGCCTCATTCTCATGGAAACAGATTTTCCCGCCCTTTTCCAAAGTGGTCAAAACAGATCCACAACAAAGCTAAATCTGCTGGCTCAGATTTCTGATGCTAGGGAGTCAAAACCGGTGTTGCATCACACAGTCACTCTCCCAACCTCTGTCTTTCTCCAGCAAGTCAAAAATGACTTCTGACTCTCTATCTCTCTCTCACATAAGAAAAATCCAACATGCACCCAAAGATTCTAATTGTGTCCGATTGTACAATGCCACCTATTTTTCATCGATTTGATTCACAATAATACGATGGGCGTTTTGACAATTACCACGGCCTGAACAAAACACCGTTGCGTAAGACGGGAAGGCGTTTTCCCACTTCGCGAACGAATGGCAGAATTACGTCTACGCGGGAATGACAAACAAATGATTGGCTAAAACTTTTAACTTTTAGACGATTCCATTGCCTTTGGGGTAGATTGATATATACTCAGAATAAAAACAATGATTGGAACACAGTAAAAACATTATCGGAAAAACAACTACATTTAATTCATGCGCCAGTTGCTCTGTAACAGCAGGCACAAGAGTCCTGGGCCGACGTGCACCGTAACCCGGTACTGAACAGCCCCTGAGGAAGGGCAAAATCGGTGTGGTATGCTGGATGGATCGCCGGGAGCAGTGAATGGGCTTCGCACAAATTGTAAAATGACGCAGCGTATGGACGACAAACACGATGAACTTACGGCTTGATTTCAAGTTTAGTGTTAAGGCGGAACTCGATTGATGATGACGCTAACTGTTCGGTGAATGAGACTTGTCTATAGATTTTGTAGGAAGCCCCTACACCTTCAAATTAACTTTATCAAGGCAAAGTAAAATTTGTCAGAGCATAATTTGTAATTTTGGTTCAAGAACAAGGCACAGTTGATCAGAAAACAAACACAGGTGTTGCGCAATGCCTACTTGTTGCTAAGATCTTGTGTTCGTTTGTTTGCTCTTTAACTTCTCCAGTGTATTAAGTTGTCTATCTGAAACCAAAAATTAATTGGGTCGACCGAATTGCTCTTTTTCTATTTGGTGCAGCGCGACTCTAGAACTAGTCCTGCCCCAAGGCCAGTTTTACTGTTTTGGCCGGTGTACCTTGCATGTAACATGCCCTGGCGAGCACGGCCGAATAGCATTCACAAGAGACGAAGTGCCAGAAAACCAGTCTTTTAAAATCCGCCATTCCTACCTACAAAATTCTGAGCATACCTCATGCGTCCAAGTTACCGTGAAGAATTGCGCATATGTGCACTGCCGAAAACTGCGAGCCATGCACACCGAATGAGATATCTTAGAAACAGAGATATTTCTGTTAGGAATAGAGATATCTCTGTCAGCCCCCCTCCCCAAGTCTACAGTTTCTGGTCAGGGACTCGCTCCAAAAGTGGTGCAGCGACGAGTTTTTTCCTCATCCTTTTTTCTCTAGAAATGATACACGCACACGTGCTTGTAGGAACATACCGCCGCTGAAATGACACTGAAATAGACTGGCCCCCTCGCTATAAAAGCGTTTCCAGCTTTTAGATGTACACAGGACATAATAAGACCATCTCATTTGTCTGGTTCCCAGATGTAAATGTACAATACGAAAATGACCTTATCTTAAAAAGAGTGCCCGACTCATTGTATGTGGGCCTAAAGGGACTCCTTTACTGTACATATTACTCAACCGTATCCCATCTAAAACACGTTAATTTAATTACGAAGAAGCAGGATTCCAGGTGATCAAGGAAGTTCGACAGCTTTTGAACATCGTGTTATATCAAATAATTTTTTTATCAAAGCTTTAGTTATCTGTATTTTTAATACAGATATTTCTATGCCGGAGTACAATCAAAGGTGCACGCCATACTCGTTTGTTTTTTCAACAGACCACGTCAATGTCCGCGTGTACGTCGTTCATGGTGGTGCTTTCAGCACGTATGAAGCCATGTGGGAAGGTGTGCCTATGGTGGGTATACCACTTTGGGAGGACCAGATGGATAACGTGGTCCGCGTAGAGGCACAAGGCGCCGGTCTCAAGTTGGACATCAGTGGTCTCAAATCGGAGACTTTGAGCCGGGCCATTTGCAGAGTCATGACCGAGCCTGGGTAAGATTACAGCTAGGACTCTACCTTCCCAGGTGATAAACCGGCCGGGGAAGTTCACAAAAACACTTTGGTATGCACGGTTCATGAATAGTCATCGGGATGATTCGCTGCTCTGCCCTTTCGTCACTATGAGAAGTGTAAAGCTATCCCTAATTCTCTCAGTTTAATGAGCTTCACAATTAACGAGCATTGTTTCCTGATTTACACGACAATGTAATGAAGTTGTGCACATTCGGCTGAAATTAATTGATTGCAAGAACCAGTGCCCTGTAACGCAATTCACTTAACTCCAAAAAGATTTCAGTTTCTGCATATTAAAGAAAAGTTCATAGCAAAACAGGATTCTAAGAAAATTTATCACAATGACATATCCTGTAATTTTTGGTGACGGCATAAAACCCGTCCATTCTGACTTCCGGCAGCTATGAGAGGGCAGGGGTCTAATAGGTACCAAAATGGCGCTTATGTTATGTGTTGACAGTAACTTTCCATTTACAGATTCGTCAACGCACTAAGTGGATATTTTGTACGATGAAAATGATGCAGCATTTTGATTTATTTTCAGATTCCGCGAAAATGCACAGCGTGTCTCTAAGATCCTGCGCGACCTTCAGAACGATGACAGACCGGCAGACAAAGTGGCTCGCTGGATCCTTCACGTCACCAGGTTTGGCGGCGACCATTTACGACCAGCAGTCATGGATCTCAATTACGTTCAGAGGAATCTCCTAGATGTTTACCTTTTCATTGGTCTGGTTCTGGCCTCGGTTATCATGATCAACGTGTCTGTTTGCTATTTCTGTTGTCGGAGCCTGTGTCGTTTTGGCAGAGGCGACCATTTTAAGAAGGAGTGAGATATAAGGTTAATTCATCAAGTTCTAAAATCTGATAGATTTGATAATTAGCTCTAAAAGGTTTATCTCGGAGGCACGATATTCCACAAATCATCCCTAAATGCAAAAGGATTGTCATCAAGCAGACTTTTAGGAATTCTTTTTAAATAATAACATCAAATATAAATGTAAATTAAAGTAAGCGCGATTTTGGAACTGCAATTTTCTGGATTTTTTTCAAATTATTCTCGTGTGAGTTTGCCGCTCCAAAACTCGCTAAAATAACTATCCTGCTCCATAAATATTTTTGGAATGTATTAACTACCTCAAGATTGAATGCTATAAATTCTTCGGCATTGTATTGCAACATCAAACAAAAGAGCAGCAACCGTTTGTAATATTTATACCAAACATCTAATATCAATTACTATAAAATGTTTTTACATTTTAATTAAACACAACAGCTTGAATTGTGTTATTTGAAACTCATGTAAATTTCATTTTGAAATGAAATCACTGATCAAAGATGCAGGAGCTTGAGTCAATAATTAGACTTAGAGTTAATAGTAATAGTGAGTGGTAGAGCTGATACAGCGTGTGAAGGTACTGAACTTAAAAGATACACCGTGTTGCGTTCATATTCATTTTATCATCAATAATCAGAGAAGTAAGTGATTACGATAAAATTCTAAAACGCACACAAAATGACAAAGAGTGTGAGTCTAATTTACATTTGGGCTCCGTGCACACGAACCCGACTCCAAGGTCGAGTTCGGGCGGCCTGGTCTTGACACAGGTTTCTTGTTCTCGCGCTCGAACAGCAGGAACACGACTTAAGAACACTGTTCTCGGAACAGGATCACACACCACCTCCTCGTCAGGGTTTTACAGGAACACACGGAAAAACTCGTGAGATTTTGATTCTTGAACAGCTGCAAAAAGTAGAAAGATGGCTCCCAAATCCATAGACCATGTAGACAATGGGAAGTTTTTCAAAATTAACATTAATTTCTTTCCGTAACACAGAAATGAATGTTCCTGTTTATATAGAAAAGAATTCAGCCCATCCAAACCTTAACTCTCGAATAACGTATATACGGACGCCGCCATGTTGCATGTTGCTTGCGATAACCGGTTGTTTGTTCCCGGCGTTCGAGCGGCCGACCCACGAACAACGAGTATGAGCAACAAGTTAGAGACGGAAAGCAGTCCACGTACGTCCCCTAATACATGTGTCTCGAAAAGTACTTACCTTAAAAACCCTTCAAATACAAATAATTAGAAACAAGTGGAATTTATTTGTTAGTATTGAGCATGACAGATGGCGCTAGTCACTCGGCGTGGCGCGAAGTTATAGATGGCGCTCTGCCCAGTAACAAGGGGCAGACGTTATACACATAATAAGCTGCGTGTTAAGCAAGCGCGGCGCATAGGCTCCGCCTTGTGCATAAGCCCCGTAGACTTGCTCAAGTCCCTGATCCGGCACCGGATGCTCACAATTAATTGTGGTGTTTGCTGCTCTGAGCGAAGTTCAGATGTTGATGAATAAACCAGCCACGTTGATTATTGTATATAAGTCGGGTGTCCAGTCACAAAGGTCGAGTTCGGGCGGCCTGTTCTTGACACGGGTTTCTTGTTCTCGCGCTCGAACGGCGGGAACACGACTCAAGAACACTGTTCTCGGAACAGGACCACACACCACCCCCTCGTCAGGGTTTTACAGGAACACAAGGAAAAACTCGTTAGATTTTGATTTTTGAACAGTTGCACAAGTAGAGAGGTGGCTTCCAAAGCCATAGACCATGTAGACATTAACATTAATTATTTTCCCAGACACAGAAATGAATGTCCCTGTTTATATAGAAAAGAATTCAACCCATCCAAACCTTAACTCTCGAATAACATACATGGACGCCGCCATGTTGAATGTTGTTGCATGTTTGTTTTTTCCCGGCGTTCGAGCGGCCGACCCACGAACAACAAATCGAGCTGTTCGTGAACAAACAGGAACAAGCCGCCCGAACTCAGCCTAAGCTTCGGCCAATCAGATCATCACACTTTATTGGGGGACGGTATACTTCCAACGGACTCGTCCCTGGCCGCTCAGGGACTGTCCGGTACGTTCCGTCTGACTGTCACGCCTCAAAGAAGAGGGTGCCTTCGCCCAAGGGGCCTGACGTCACAGTTACGGCTACAAGTTTTTATGCACTATGTCACCTTTAGTAAGGCTATCAAGTTTTAGGATTAATTTTATTTTGTTTTCATGCACACACTGGTTTTCCAGGGAAACACTAAATATTTTTACTACATTCATCATGCGGGTAAGAAGTCACTTTCAGATTTAATTTCATACAGGTTGTTGGAGTGACCCATTCTCTAGAACCCAGAATGTATGATGTATGAACGTGTCAGGGGGTCCGTTTACTCAGAGAATGATGAGAACCTGGCGTACATACTCACCATATATTTCCCGACTGTCTTGCCTGCTGTCTATAGTATCAGTCACAGTCAGCCGATGGGAGAAGGGCGGGGACGAGCGAGGGAGAGGGGGAGAAATTCAAAGTGCAAAACAACTTTCCTAATTATGCGGGGTCAAAGGGTCGGGGAGGGGTTGAGCTGAGGCAGTCCAGGGTCACCAGGAAGTTTTCGCCACAAAAGAAAGAAGAACAGCCAATTTAATAAAAATGGGCAAGGTCACGCATGAATGAATGACGGACCATGAAGAAAAGTATCTGAGGAAACAGCTTCTCAAAATTATCTCATTTATTTCGGAAATCACTTGGGTGTCTCTATCACATATACGTCAAAAGAATTACACGGCACTAAATCTTTCACAGCGCTCGTAAGTTCATTAGTCCTCATGGCACTTCTTCGCCGACTTTATACGCAGCGCTGCTCAGCCTTGCACACACGCACGTGCGAGCCGTTCCTTCTGCACGCGGGACTTGTTCGTGAGAACCGAGCCAACCGAATGCTGGTTGCACATGCGTAGTAGTAGGGAACAGTATTTACTAGACCCACCCCACCTTCAATCATCGTCCCCCACTTTACAAAAAATACCAAAACTAAACCACAGCAGAATCGAAACACTCCAGACCCCTGCGACCCACTTTTAAAAATTTTTAAAATTGGCCATCCTCTCTGGCTATCCGAAAACCAACTAAAACAATCTTGCCCTTATAAAACCTACGTTCCAATTTTGCCGTGACTTAAGGGCCGCGAAAAGGGCCGATGATTGAAGGTGGGGCGTGTCTATTAAATACCGTTCCCTACTTCTGTGGTTACGCTTTTGGTCTGGGTCTTCAGGGAAAAATTAGACTGTATAACAAACCTGTATATAAAATAGGAATGAATAAAAAAACCAAACCAAGACGCCAACTTGTTTTATCAGGCTTTAGACAATTAAGAAAATCATTCCTGGCAGATTTTGTAAAACGATATGATATCTCGTTACCGACACCAAAGCGTAAAAAACATAAAAAATCAGAACTCGTAAAAGCGATTCAAGAGAGTCAACGACAATTTAAAAATCTAACTCGTCAGTCGTTTAGCCAGCTTTTAAAAGTAGCCCAAAATAACGACATTGAATTTACGGCTACTGACGCAAAAGGAAAAATATTACGAAAGGATTTGATCACCGCGATTAAAGCGTATATTGATCCACAGGTGATTACGAAAGTGGACATCCGTAGAATTAGGCGCTTTAGAGACAATTACAGAAATTGGAAGTTGATACCGAAGTTTTACGAGACGACTTAATTTACTTTTTGGAGTTTTACAGAAAGGACATCGAAGACAAAGCACTTGCCGAGTTTAAGGAAATTGGGTCGTTAAAATTACAAACGGCCATCAAGATTCAATTTAAAATGGAAAAGCCGGGGGCTGAGACTGAAACCGGCGTTTTCACGTTTACTACCCAAAATAACGCGGTCTTTTCTAAAAAAGGAATTAAAGAAGCGTTTTGTCATCAAATTGAACAACAAAAAGAAGACGTGGAAGCTTGCGAGCAACGTGGTTCTGGCTGGGTGTTTGATAAAGTAAAAGCTTTTTACATCATTGTGGTTAAATACAACCTGGTTAGCGCGACTTATATTCCACTCCCAAAATATTTGGCGGTTAAAACGGCAATAATTAACGTCCAAAATAAAAATGACCAAGAATGCATCCGTTGGTCGTTGCAATCTGCTTTGAAATTGCACTCAAACAATGTCAAACGTCAATTAGAAATTAATCCGAATTATAAAATACACCAGGATCGCACCACGACTTAAACAAAAGAAAATGTTGACTTTCAAACACCCATATCTCAGATCCCACGTATTGAATCACAAAATAATTTGGCTATCAATGTATTTGGGTATACCGGGAAAGAAGGCATTTTCGTGCTTTACAAAAGTAAGCGAGCAGAAGAACCCATTAATTTACTCTATTTTACCGAAGACGAAAAGAGCCATTATTGTTGGATTAAACACTTCTCTAGATTGATGCGCGGTGCTACAAAACATACCAGTAAATTATTTCGGTGCTTCAAATGCCTGTCACATTTTCAAAAGAAAGAGAGACTCGCTCGACATCAAGAGGACTGTCAAAGAATTGACGCAGCGGCGTCTAAGGTCGAATTACCCGCCAAAGGCGAAAATATTCTCAAGTTGGAAATAAGCAAGACGCACCTTTTGTCATTTACGCTGATTTTGAGTCGGTTTTAGAAAAATTACCGCCAACAGATACAAACACGGCCAAAACACAAATCCATAAGCCTTGCAGGTACTCATACGCGGTCGTTAGATGCGATTTGATTTGCACTTCACGCGAGATTTATAGAGGCCAAGACGCGGCAGTTAAATTTGTGCAGTAGCTTTCTGACGAATCTACAAAAATTGTAATCGCTGTTGGGTCTGTGAAAAGCTTATCGTCAAGACAAACAAATCTCAGTGTCAGTGTCCAATTCCAAATGAACCAAAAACAAACGATGAAAAAGCTGCTTGCAGTTCTGCAAACGAAGCTGGGTTCAGAGACTTGAAATGCATGACGTGTACAAAGCCCATCAACAAATTTAGAAAGGTCAGAGATCACTGTCACGTGAAGGGGAAGTACCGAGGCCCCGTGCACGCCAGTTGTAATCTCAAGTTAAGAGTCGTTCCGAATCAAACACCCATTCCGGTTATTTTACACAATTTGGAGAAATATGACGCGCACTTAATCATGCAGGGCGCTCACGATTTTAACGGGAAAGAAACAAAATTAATCGCTAAAAATACTGAGAACTACATTTCCCTTTCCTTTGGTCAAATCAGGTTCTTGGACTCCTTTCATTTTATGGCGGCTTCGCTAGATCGGTTGGTTAAAAACTGTTCACGGGTGTATTTCAGAACTTCCGTAACGTCTGTAAACAGAACTACGGCCTTGGCCCAGCTAACTATTACACGTCACCGGGCCTGTCGTGGGACGCTCTTTTGAAGCACACGGGTTTTAAACTGGAACTACGGACAGACATAGACAAGCGCTTCTTCTTTGAAAGGGCAAAAAGAAGTGGTATCTCGAGTGTTGGTGCAAAGTGATATGCAAAGGCGAACGATACGAGTTTACCTGACTGCGACCCAAATCAACCGGAGTTGCT